ACTAATAATTATTCAATAAATCTCAATTCTAAATATTAAAAAAGTAAGTTTCTAAATAACTGTTGTAATAATTAAGATGAACCAGATAATTAGTAGGTCCATTAAGTTTGAATAAAATAAGCAGATCAGAAAGATATAAGAAATAAAATGTATGTAATAAGTATTAAAGTGAAAAGTTTCTTTGTACCAAAAAAGAAATTTGATATAATTTAGTGTCAAAGTCTCTATACTTCTTTGAAACAATCTAAACTCTTATACATGAAAACAGAGAAGAGTCATGAAAGTGAAAAGTTAATTTTCTCTTAAGGTTGCATTGGGTTCAAGAGTCATTTAAAAACTGAGTTAAATTAAAAAAAAAAAAAGAAAAAAGAAATGAAAATTATGATTGGAGTTTATTTCTTTCTCATTTACTGTTCCATTTTTTGTGCAATCTCATCATAATAATTGAAGACTTTCATCATAAGAGAAAAAAAGAGAAAATAAATGAAACTCATCACAACAATCATAAATATAAGTTGATAGGTGATAACTTTTATAACTATTCAGTAACAACTTTACATAAGTTTAGAGAGGTTACTGTATTAAGCAACACAATATAGCTCTAGTGCCTCTGCTATTTACCTTGAGCTCCTCGATAAAATCCAAACAAGAATCAGCAATATTATTGGTCCTGATCTATCAGCTCAGCTTCAGTTTCCCACCACCATAAGGTTGCCTTTGTTTTTTCTATAAATACTTTCATGGTAATTGTTGGGATGAGTTCTTTGCTATGTTACCTAGACATTTTGAATTAAGATGCAGTACTACACTGGTATAAAGATCTTATCAATTTATGGTTGAAATGACAAGATGCAGCTGTAAGTTCTATGTTAACAGTTTCTTTTTCTTGCATTTCTTGCTTGTGGAACTACCTTCCAGCTCTATACTTTCCAGCCAACTTTAATCTGCAAAAATTTAAATGCAATGTCAACCACTCTCTACTGTCCTCCTAATTACTCTTTCCTCTTCCCACTCATTATTAATGTTTCTGTTCCTAATTCTTCCCCAACCCCTTGTGTCTTTGTACCTTGTATGGGGTGATACCGATTTAAAATATATATATATATAATAAAAAAAATAGAGAGCTCACAATACACTCTAAAAAATGTTAGAAAATAAATGGCTCCTCTTTAAATCTATAAAAAGGTAGTTAAAATGATACATCTTCAGTGTAAAAAAAAAAAAAATGGATATCAGAAATTACTTAAAAGAAAGCAAGAAAATCTTACAAAATTTCAGAACAAAATGGTTAAGGATAGCAAGGAAATTATTTATCTATTCAACCTGAATATCTCCCAGAGAATAAGTAATGTCAATTAGACATGAAAGCAATTAGAATATTTAGCAAGGCAATGAAATGATTTTATTAAAGAAAATTGAATATTCAGGAAGGCCAGAAAATTCTTTAATGTCTACAATAGAAATAAAGACATTTCCAATGGAAAGAAATGAAACAAAATGCATATATACAAGAATGAGAAGGGTGATAATTATACCTTTCTTATTCTTGTATATATGGGAGAAACATCCACACTCTTTGTAATTATAATTACAAAGTGTGTAGATACCTGCATAAATTTCAACCAGCCTTTGCTATGTTCAGCTTACTACTAATAAGAAAAAAAGTTGTTACTAAATTTACCAGCTGTTTTTGCACCCTCCTCCACTAATTTTTTTTCCTTTGTTCAAATTTAAATTTAATTTAAACCAAAGAAATGACCCCTATCCTGGAGATAGCCAGAAAATGGAGGTCACATTGACAAGATCATTAAGTAATATTGAAATTCATTTTTCTCCACAAATTATAACAATGATTTAAAATCAATCATTTTCTTACAAAAAAAATGTGTGAAACACAGCAAGTTGTGGTAATTTGGCTAGTATGTAATAAAGATGCAATAAAAAAAAAATAAACAGGAAAGAAATTCAGTTTTCACATTCTATCTATTATTTTTTGTAGAATATTCTTTAAATTAAAAAGACCTTTTTTTCAACCAGACTATTAAAAAAAGAACCCTAAGAAAAACAAAAAAGAAATAAAGAGAAAATATAATATGGCAAGTAAAAAAAAAAATCTGGCAATGACTTTAATTTAGAGTGATGCTGATAGATCTTTAATGTAGTGAGTCCCCAGAACCCACAGGTGATCATTTGAGCAGGTCCCTGGAAAATTCTGTGGATCCAAACTAAAGTTTCTTACTTAATATATTGCATGGCTGCAGGGCTCCAAACTTAAGTTTTTCTTTTTTACTATATATCCCCAAAAATAATTTCAATCATCTCAAATCACTTAAATTGACAGAACAAAGATTTTTTTTTAAATTCAATTAACAAATTCAAAATAAAATTAGTATTTACACTTAATCACAGTTCAGTTAAGAAACTATATTTTTTAAGAATTATGACAAAATGTTTTTTAAAATTGATAGAACAAAAGTCATTTCGTTTTTTTCTAATAAATTGGATGGGCTGGCTTTGGTTCTTATAAAAAGTGAATTACACAAGGGAAATTTTCCTTTAAAAAATTTAAGTAATTTCCTTTTTGCTTAGAAATATGAGACTAATTAATCAGTAATGATTCTAACTTTCACATATGTATGATACAAAATTGAAAGAAAATATTTTTCCTATAACAACATAAATAGTACCAAAGTAAATTATCAAATGAAATAGAGGTGAATATACTGCATGTGAACAAAATATTGCACAAATTTAACTAAAAACAAAATAGTGACTGTAGCACATAACTCAAAAAAAAATTAATAAGAGTTGCTAATTTTAACATGTAAACAAAAATTTATCATCACTTTGACAGTCTACAGACTGTTACCAAGATCTTTTAGTCTGAAAATAATCAACTAATGTGATTATAATTAATATAAAAAATTAACCCAGTCAATCACTAGGAAACATTTAACACAATGAAACTAAATACAGTGGAAAGTATGTTGAGAAAGATCAAATGATGCAAATGCTTGCGGTGTATTATAAACTGATTCATGTGAATAAACTCAATAGCATTTGTCAATGATTACTTGTTCTTCATAGTGTAGTGTACAGTTTTCTCTGCTTGACCTCTTTCCATTTAGCCAGTACCTCTTCAAAAGAGAACTCTGACCTTTTGAATTCCAGGTTGACCTTAAGAAGCTGCTCTTGATGTTCTGATGACAGCCTGATCTGATGAGGAGTGAGGATGAGATTCTGAGCAGAAAACCGTTATTCACAGCCAGCTGTATGCACAACCAAAGTGGTGACCAGTTGTGTAAAGATAGTGAGGTTGGGGGAATGATTTAGTCAATATTTTTCACCAATGCCTAAAGTTTCCACATGCTGCCTGTAGGATAGTACTGTACTTTGACAACTTTCTTCAGCAGGTCCCACTCCAATCAAAACTGAATAGCATTGATGAGGGGCTGGTTAGTCATCTGGTGATCCTCTCCATTTAGGGGTTTGATCATGTCCATTTAGAATTTTTAACTCCGCATCTCCATAGGCCTTCAGCTCTTCCTCATTCATGAAGCAGATGGGATGGAGACTCAAAACATCAAATGCTGACAACAGAGAAGTGTTTGGAAACTTGGAATGCATGTTACCTACAAAGTTGTTAATAAATTTGATGTCCAGTTGTCCCAGATTGAATGTGGCTTTTGTGATCTGATGCTCACCCTTGTATATGTTGCCCTGAATGTTAGGAGATGTCATTTCCTTGATTTTTTTCTATGTCCTTGATGGAAAAATCTAGCTTTATTTTTATAAAGTCACATCCACCTTTATAGTTTGCAGTAACTGTAAAAAGACTAACAGAAGCCATGGTATCTATCATCAGTGCAATGATGCTGAAAAACTTCTCCTTTGAAATATTTTTAGGCTGTTTATCATTGGGTCTTTGCTAAAGTATGTTGGCAGGCTATCAATTGTTCTATGCAAAATCTGAAACACATTGTAGTATGATAGCCATCAAATGGAATACAGCACTTTATGAGCACTGAGTCTTCTGGCAGTTTTTGTATATATTTTTTTATTGTAACTGCTTGTTCAGGACAAGCATGGAAGTAATAAAACGGATCAGTCACTATCTGTTTATGCTCTTTGAGATTTACTATTGACGTTGATGCTTCAGATGTGTACAAAGCTGGGGAGTGGGCAACAGTACCCATTCACTATGTGAGCTTAGGCCTAAACAGTTTGCTTGTGCAGCCTTTGTTTCTTCCTTGTCAGTACTGCAGCCCTACCTGATCCCATGCTCTTATTAAATATAACAAAACAGGCACATTTCTGTATAAATCAAAACCAATGCACTAACTTTCAAACAAAATATGTTTTAAGAAGAAAATCTAAGCACTAATTACCTTTGAATCCAAGAGTCTGGTATACTGGATGCTGTGTGAAAGTGTATATGCAAAGTTTGCTGGTATACTGCCCAGTGTCATGGACAGCATGGTTGGAAATCTGTACTCATCAGAGTGTCAGAATTCAAAGTGTTAATATCTATGATAGTTTATTTGACAAAAGATTCACAATTACAGAAAGAATATATTAGTTAAATTACTGATGTTCTTGTTTACTTAATATCAAATTACTTTTACTAACTCATAACTGTTACGGGTTGGTTTCAAGAGGAAAATTCAGGTGTGTCCTAACATCTTTTTAGATTTTTATGTATCAGGGATGCAGAACACACACCTAGCAGTATCTCTGATTTTGCATATGAATTTTTTTTCACTAAGTCAATCAGTCCACATTGATATTATTTTTCCACTTTTAGAATCAATCACTTAATACAAGCGAGTTTATAGACTTTTCCAATATTAAGCTCAGATATTTTTAAAATTTTAATTTTCTCATAATTATTATTATTGTTTATAAATAACTGATGGCAAGTGGTTATTTTAATAAAATTAAGAAATTAATCCCAGTTTAGTACGTAACAGTTTAACTAATGGTATTAACTGATAACTTACCTGCTTGCCTGGCCTCATGACAAGCCTCACACATCTCATTTTTGATCTCTGGATTTTCATCTGCTATAGATTCTCCAACAGATACAAAATTACCAACAGCTTGATTGACCACTTGTCCAACTTGCACCAATATCCGAAGAGTCTTCTCTGATACTTTTGATTTTTCCTTATGGTTCACAAGTGTTGTAATCTGTCAAACAAACAAAAACACTTATTCAAATCTGTTCAACATTTTTAATTTTCTTTCCTACTGATGGGTTCTCAATTACTATTTGAAAAAAATATTAGGGAATTAAAATTGTAATTATAGTAGAAAAGCATTAAAAAAATTTGAAAAGACAAATAACCTCAAAATATTCAATGAGAAAAATTTAAATAAAAAAGTAAAATACAATGAGAAAAATAGGGAATTGGTTAATAGAGAAAAGAGAAAAAAATTGAAGTCAATCAATGCCACCATAACACTATAAAATCTCTGAAGAAAAACATTACGAGCACAATGTCCAAAATAGATAAAGATCATCTGATTCAGGCATGTCAACATTTCAGACCTTTTATTAAAGCTATAATCAATGCTTACAGTAGATTAAAATGTGTCAAGAATAGTTTCAAGATTATTTGTGCAAATTTTTTATTAATACTTTTCTTTCATGACTTATCTTCTTACTAAATTCATGCAAATTTCCTAAAAGAACTGAGCAACGCTGTATATTGCAGTATCAAATATAATACTCATACAGTCAATACATATACACATTCAAAGTACATCAATAAGACCATAACCTCATTGAAAAGAAAAAGAAAAAAGAAAGCACTGATTTTGCACAACAAATATTTTTCATTTCTTTCATTGTCAATGCACTTAATTCAGTGGTGAATATTAATCTCAAATTGAACAATATACAGTGAAAATTTTAGATCCAAATTCAGCTAAAAACTACATGTCAAGTTACATATCCACACTGATATGTATGGAAGAGCATGGTGAGTAAAATGGACCAATAACAAATATTATATATTTTTTTGCAAAGTTACAAGCCATTTTGAGCATGCTGGCCTTGTTCAGACTGTCCAACATTCTAGATAACACACTCTTTCCCAGAAGTTGTAAGATCTGCTCAGTATGGTTGCAGTATAAGCCACAGGTGGGCTCTAGGTGCTGAACAAATACAAATGTGCTTGAGCAGGTATCTGCAACAGGGATTAACTAGCCACCCTAGTAGACAGGCAACCTCAGATATGAGTGGCCAGCCATCCATATACTATTTATATGTTTGATAAAAGCTGTCATCTTCCAAAGGTTATTCAGTCTCTTGGATGTCCTAATAAGCCACAGAAATGGTGTATTAAAGAAAGAAAGAAAGAAAGAAAGAAAGAACATGTGCAGAAATCTATTTAAATTTCAATTCAAATCACCTCTTCTTTAAGAAAAGGTTGGTTGCTTACTTTCAACATCAAAGCTCACTGTCTTGGAAAACTGAAGAAAGGAATCAAGGAAAATATTCTTTATACACACCAAATTTACAACTATTCATCCAGTTATTTCCAAGACAGGAAATTGGATGCTGAACCTGAACAACACTAACCACCTAGCTACAATATGTATACCATATGTAAGAGAAGTAGCTAAATGAACATTACAACATCGAGGTGGCTTCCCTATTACAACATCCTTTAGTAATCTCCTTACTAGGGTTGATCCTGCATGAAGGATAGGTTTATCCCTTAAAAATACAGAGAAAAATTTAAGGAAAAAAAAATAGTTGCCCAATTAATGTCAGACCTTAACAACACATGGGAACCATATTCAAAGGAGAGGAAGAAATGATAAGGGAAATTATATCTGAAAAGAAAAGGGACTTATGCCAAGCTCTCTGGGGTGAAGTCCAAGTAATACAAATGGAATATTACTGGAGAGCAAGAGAACAAACAAATGTTATACATTAACCAGTTAAACACGTGCAAATGAGACCAGTGTGAACTTCAACAGAAAGATTACTGAAAAACATCACTGTCTATAACATGAAAATATTGATAGTTTGCTGAGAATAAGACAAGTCACTCAGTATATTAGCTACCATTTCTTTTCAGTTCATCTATTTCTGTAGTAAAAACCCACTATCTTACTGTACATTCAAAACCAGATTACTTATTAAATCTCTCTCTCTCTCTCTATATATATATATATATATAATTATATATATATATATATATTACTAAATTACATTCAAAGGACATTGTCCTTTTTGACAGCCATATTTAGCAACATTCAATTGATTTACACTATTTACATTGTTTGGACCGTTATCTTTGTTGTCATGACATGTACACTCTGGCCTTCTTCAGGTGATTGGATTTTCGAACCAAACTCTTTATCCCCTAGAAACATTGGATAAAAAACATTGAAGTAATCCAAAAGTGACTTTAGTCAAAGAGTTGGAAGTTCAATACCTGGCCACAGCAGAGGTGAACAAAAATTTGGAGAGTTGAGTTACTAAATGGAAATAACTGAAACTGAAATATCCAGAAAATGCATGCATGAACAATCTACCCCAGTGGTAAAAATAAAGGGTTTGGTTTGAAATTCCAATGTTTGTCACCTGAAGAAGGCTGGAGAATATAACAGCTAAAATGTCATGAATATGACAATAAAGATGAGGATAGTGTAACACAAGTTATATAGAACTATAATTATCAAAGTCCTCAAAATAATTTTTATGGTAATCTTACTACTATTGTTTTTACAATTTAAAATACTTAAACCAGAATCTTATTGAATAAATACCTTTCTTTCTAGAAATAAGCTTGATAGAATAATTAGCACAACTTCAAGAAAAGTATACAAAGAAATAGAAAAATAATGTAGAAAAATTGATAAGTACAATATTAAAATAAATATTTATTTGCCAAGAGCACAAGTATGGATCACCCAGTGAAGAGCATTAACTATAATTTGAGACAAAAATATGTGAACAATTACTACAGAGCAAGTGCTCTAGTGTTACAAGCATGTATTGCAAGCATTGTTAGAACTCATTAAAATCAGAAATCTGCATGCTGCACTCTTTAACAAAAAAGATTAAATCATTGAAATATGCAGGCAAATATAGGATATTAACACCGAGCTCAATCTTTTTGCCATTGTCACTATAGATTTATTCACAAGAACTAAAAAACTCAGAATGGTCATCAGAATATAAGAGATAATGAAAATTACAATGATTATTAGTTAAGAAAAAAAAAGAAATAAATCAACATTAAGATTGTAAATGAATCAAAATATGTAAATCTTTGAATTGATTGCAATTGAATTACTTATTTTTGTGTCACTTCTTTGCTGTGCCTCTGTTAGGTATCAGTAATCTTCTGACATCATTTTTTTTAATCATTTCATTACAAGTTAGGCAGTAAAGCTAAGACACAAGGGGCTACTTAGTATGAAAGAATGAGATACATTATTAAGGACCGAGAATAATAAAGGAAAAGTAATTAAGAAGACAGTAGATAAAAATTGATATTGGATTTAAATTTTTGATGATCATCGTTTGCTGGAAAGCATGGAGTCAAAAGAGAGTTCCACAAGTGAGAAGTGCAAGAAATTAAAAGAAACTGTTAGCCTAGGACTTATGGTTGCATGTAACCAATTCAACTGTAAATAAAATAAAATTGTCAACCGAGATCCTAAAGTTCCTTTTTTGGTGACTTATACTCCCTCTAAGTAACAGAATATAACCACTTTGATTTATTTCACTCTTGTTTATAACGTATATGCTTGCCTAACAATTTTCAAATTTATAGCTTTTTCTAATACTATCCACATTCAGTAAAAACATAAAAAGAAAAAGAAGTTAATTTTCACTTGCAGAAATATAAAATAAAGCTATGGATATAAAAATTCAAACTTTTTGTAAATTCTCATCCATTTTTATAATTACCCACTTTGATTAGAAGTCACAATCCAATTAGTAAATAACCAGTATTCAAGTTGATATTGTCACTAAATTACTACAAGAAACATTTTCTGGCATTTCTCTGCTACAGGTTGCTAAGCAGATAGCATTGTAACAGGCAAGCCCAATATCAAAATCCAACCAATTTACAATTTATATCTGGAATTCTGCCAAGAAAAATTTGAGGAAATTGTTGCAAATAATCCAACATAACAGAAAACAAATTCTAAAGAGAATGGATGCTAGAATGAAAGGTTTAAAGAAAAAAATGGTATTTATTTTACATAGTTACGTCCCTTGGAAATTGGTGTGGTTAGCATGTTACAAAGTGGATAAAGAACAGAACACAGTTATCCTACAGATTTACTGGTAATGTAAACAAACAAAGAGATAAGAGCATATGTTTTAACAGAAGCATAAAAACCCAATGCTTGCAAGACCTTACAGAAATAGAAGTCATATTGCTGAAGATTCTTTATGTGAATGAAAAAAACACACACACACACACACACACACACACACACACACACACAAAAAAAACAATAAATAAATTGAAGAGTATGTAGAGATATTAATGTGAATACAAACTGAATTATTAAGTGTGTGTGAGTAAATTTTTTTTAATTAAATAATACAGTTCAACATTACAGTATATTGATAATTTTAGGTTAAAAAGATCTTTGCTTTGATTTTCCCGCTGTTTATAATTTAACTTTTTTCTTTTATGTGTCATGTTCCTTTTGCTATCCCAGTGTGCCATTGGATTACAGTGTTACACTTTCTGTCCTGTTAAATCATTTCCTAGATATTTAAATTGTTGTACTTGTTTGATTTTGATATCTTCAATTTATAATTTGCATGTCTTCTTGCAATTGATGCTTAGTCCTTTCTTGTCGCTTTCCTTCCCTACCTTCCTATAGGAATTCTTTACTTTCTGTGTTTGATATCAATAGTGTGTTATCTGTTTATCTTATATTAAGATTATGGTTACCAATAAAGAATCCTGGTAGGATTTCTAATTCTCAGAAACACCTCACTGCATAGGTTAAATAAGTTCAGTGAGAAAGCATATGCTTATCTTACA